CTTTGTCAATGACGGTAATGATAAAGTTTTTTTTGCAGTAACGAGAGCAGATTCTTTAGCTTAGGAATGGAGTCGTCGATGTAGCTGTCACATGATTTGGAATTGAATTTTTGAATCAAGTCATTTTGTTTTGCCTAGAATGTGCAGCTTCCATTCTATAAAAAAAACAATTAGGGGTCGTCCTGTTATATAGGAGATCGCGCTAATGCATTTATCCAAGGCCATCAAGAATTCTTGAAAAAATCTGTCTTCATGAAACTTCCCATTCATCCTATATTTGGCACCCTGTTTGAAAAACGTTCTCAATTCTACATTTTTCACAAGCTCCAGATCTCCTGTTATGAATGGTCAATGCCATTTTGTGACTGTGAAGAGGAAAGCTATGACCACAGAGCATAATTGTATGTACGATAAATAAAATTTCAGAGATTGGCAAATTATGGATACGACGTGAAGATCAACTCGATCGACTTGATAAATGGTGGAAAGGAGAAATAAGGATAAATACCAGGGACTTAACTGCATCCATCACTCGGATCACATCGGCACGACACCGAGCATCGCGGTGGGACATACGAGTACTTTTTCTGCACTTTACTCCAGTCCTCTTCTTCCAGATCAACTTATAAGGCCCTTGAAGTGGGACTCTAAGAGGGAGAAATGCACTCTTCCCTCCGATCGGAGATGCCCGAGAGCAAACGCTACATCATGTGGTATAGTCCATCCTTTCAATTTGCTTACTTCTTTCCAGAAGTAAGCAAAGAAAGACATTAGCATGTCAGTTGGCACTAGGACCAAAGGGGAAACTCTATGATTAATGAGAGGAGAGGGGGAGTGAAGAAGGAAACCAGTGGCGGAGCTTCCTCTACTTTCAACTCTCTACTCTCCAAAAGTCTTTTAAAAAAAACCTTTCCTCACACATTCATTGATCTCCATTCCCCCCTCAAAAAAGGGGCAGAGTCGCCCTTGGGTTCGGGGGTGGCTGATTTGATCAACGCTTCCCACTTCTCACTCTCATCGGGCCGCTGCCGCATAGGTCCGACAACCCGCGATTCGAACGGATGCACTATAATTTATCAATATCAATCACCAGCCATTTTTGGTAATGAGGCAACAAAACCAAACATTTCCACAAAACTGCTACAGTTTCTGCAGCACAGGACAGTTCCCGTGCGATATGCTTCGGCTGGAATATTGATGGAAATCCTTGACCAGACAAAATTGCGTTCAAAACGATTTCGTGCAACGTTTCATGGAAACGAAGCATCGATGAGTTTGTGACAGCATGGTTTTGAGGGTGCCCCAACGGAGTTGGGTTCCCAAATACCTTTTCTGAACTGTTACTTTAGGAGAAAATAAAAGACATTTAAAAAGAAATTTCCATGAAAAAGTTTGTTTTCCTTGCGAAAAGAAGTTGATATTTCCTAAACTTTTTCTACTGCAGAACGTTTCCGGGTCCCAGTTCGACCAGCTGTCGCTCGCCGACGGGTACGTAGGCCCAGCAATACCTCACACGGACTGAAAATCTGGTCTCGCGGAGTTTACCTTTGGAGTTCGGCCCAGTCCGTCACTCACGATCCCGGCTCGACTTCCATCGGATCCACTTGGGTCGAGGGCAATGGGTAGGGTAGGCCGTCCCGGTCCAAAAACATCATCAGAATCGGGCGACACGAGTCTCGGCTGCTACTCTGTCCACTTCAGGCTAGGTGCGAGTCCAGATCCGGCCTTCCCACGTCACGCTTCGTATCGAACCACATGCATGTTTTTCACAGTGAGGCGTGGTAGAGAGAGATATCAGAAGAGAGATGAGCGGCACACGTGTTACCACTGGTGCCATGAACGGTGGATACCACGCACTTCGAAGGCCTTGCACTGCGCAACCATCTTAGTTCCTACCCGTGGGTTCCTTAGTTCCTTAATTCCTTTCACTCCTTGAAAGCTGCTCGAGTTTCTTTGGGAATACGGTAGATGTCAGGAGTAGGCTGTTCCGTAACTGGAGGGACCACATCTTAACGACCTAAGCTTAGTCGAGCTAGTGAGTTGATCTCTGTCGTCTCGAGGGAAAGGAAGGGGTAGAAAGGGTCCACCAATAGTCTAGGTCTTCCGAGTAGTTTCCGAGCCCATCTCTCTGTAGTAGGCCTGGTGCCCTTTTGCATCGAAATGGGACTCAGCCGCCAGCGCGACGTGCACTCTAAGAAAAAGGGGAGCGATTTTTCCCAAAAAAGAGAGCAAAATGGCTAACTCCAGTTTCACCCCCCTTTCACTCTGGGAAAGGAGCGAATTTACTCCATCACCAAAGAATAAAATTGCTGTCCTCCTCCGTGAGTAAAAACGCTCCCATTAGAAATTGATAGGGATGTCATGCAAATATAAAAGTTCTCAGATACTGGGTGTCGTATCGTTCTCGTAGAGGCTTTGACCTACCTCTGCCTGTACTGAGTACAGCACAGGTCAGAGGGTGGACGACCTCTTATAGGTTCCATAGAGTGTCCGAGATATCAGTTCCTTATTACCTCATTTAATTGAGGTGTGACTGAATGATGTTCACGGACACTCTCTGTATATTCTAGATCTCCTATGCGGATAAAATTTTGCGTGTTCCATAAGGGTTCTCAATAGGAATATGAGCTTGTTTATGGCCTTGACTCCATGAATGTTTCTTGAATATGTGGATAACAAATGATAAAGTGTCCGTGTTTATTGATTCCTATAATGAGACTAGGCGAGACATATGTCGAGGTACTAAACAATCCTGCTCGGGACGATTCCAGGGAAAGAGGGAAGGGAACTTTTGTGTACTGTGCGATAAGCGAGACCCTTACCTCCATCTAGTGGCCTGATGAAGAACTTCAAGGTGTTCACTTCAATACGAGCGATGAGGGAGCATCTGGTGAGTAATAAGAGAGTAAATTCGAAAAGCTCATGGTGTGCTCACTTTTTACTCCCCAAACGCTCGGAATTTTCTAAGAGTGTATGGCACTTTGGCGCAAAATCGAGGACGACTGATGTGGGAAAGAATTCGTACAATGACGGTATCGGCGGATGGCGACTTGCAAAGGGGGAGTGCCGTAAATCGAGGCTCCATTTGGCCGAGGAAGGCGGCGCCAGGTTGAAGGAGAAACGTTTGACGTCCGTGTCGTCCGTTCCCCGCTCCTCGAAGGCGGAGCGGCCTTAAGAGGAATTTTCCCTTTTCTCCAGCCCCTTCGCGCTACGAAATTCCTGGCTCTGCGAGTGCGATGAGCGAAATTGACGCTTAACTCAGCGCACAAATTTTGATGTCGAGTCGGAAATCGGCGGGAAAACGGCCCACTGGCACGATATCACCCTCTTTCATCCGCTTTTCATTTAACAAAAAAGTATAGAGTAGTTGATATTTTATTTTAGTTATGCTTATTACACTGTTTTAAGTATGTACATGTACACATTTTATATCGCAAACTATATTACAATAATCATTAGGAAATGTTACAATCTAAACTTAGCGTAATCATTTCCGTTTTTCATGCGTTATATCAGATTCGTAGACAAAAAGTAGATATAAAATTAAGAATATAATCATTATTTTCTTGTTTTAAGTAGAAGACTGAAATACTTCCGCAGTTCTGGTTCCAGATGAGCCTCGGGAGGAAAAAAAAAAAGATAAAATTTAATTTCAGATAAACGGAGAACGGTGCAAGATATCAACAAGTGTTTCAAAATTTTTGTCCAGAATGAATTCCACAGCACCTCTGCCGATGTCCATCACATTACTCGAGTTCGCTCCCGGGGCAAGGGACACAGAAGAAAAAAAAAAAACGGACATGGGCGAGCCTACGCTTGCGCGTTGGCCACGAGATAATGTGCGAAAATTTCGATCGACCAGACGCACCTGCAAGTTAGAACGCACAGGCGCAGCATGCTCGGCCCGCGTTGTGGTGGGCTTGGATCAAGAGTCCTGGCAGGCATGGATTTCTGCAAGGATGGGAATGATTTGAGTCAAGGTTAAGTTTTCCAAATGAGGGATTTTCGACTCTCCCCACGCTTTTGGGACAATCGTCTAAATTTGTCGGTCCCGGGCAAAATGCATTTGAAAGAGAAATATTTGAATATTTGAAATATTGGAACTATTTCTTGCTCGGACTAGGCAACACGGTAAATAGATGCACCCACTTAGAAACAAAGTTATTTACCATTATTCTACTAGTTCTCGTAATCTCGTAAGTTGCTCTTCCTCCGATTTTCCTTGGGTTTGTTCCAGATCACGACCAACTCTATGAATGGCTTGAGCGATGGCATTGTCGTATTCCCTTGCAATTATAAAATACTATCAAATTCGCCGTCGCCCTATCCCAAAAAACGGAACGAGGATTACGATGGGTCACGAGTAGCACAGTTTTGAAACCTATTTTGACACGAGCGCGCATTTAAAAACCGCGAAGTTCTCGAAGTCATTTCCTGCGAGTCCTTCAGCCTCGGCTGCGGTCAGCGATTCGTCAGACAGGATGACGAGCATGCATCTCGGTCAAGGAATTACTCGTCGTTGCTGTGTCACAGGAGAAATGAAGACAAGTTTTTCTCCCCCTCCGAAGCGACAACCCTTGCACCCTTGCCCTTAAAACGTCACAAGAGTATTTCGAATCTAGAGTTCTGTAACTGAGATAGATCCGAGTTGTTTTTATCTTTAACTTTTAAGTTTTATCGTTAATTTTTTCAAAATTGTAGACATAAATACATAAAATTGAACTTTAATCTAGATATCGTCCAACGAAATCTCACCGAACGATGCTTGAGCTACAGATCTGTGCAAGAATGATAGAAATTTGACATTTGTTTATCCAAGCAAGTAATTTCCAAAAATCGTTAAAGAGACAAACTTTATGATTCAACCCATGCCATGTTTCCTCCTCGGATAAAGGAAACATGTTTTGTTTTATCCCAGGTGGGAATGCAGGACACTCCGGATTCAACGTTGACAGTGATACCATAAATCTGCTGAGTATTCCAAAGTAATTAACTATCAGTTGCAAACGAAATTCCTATAAAATTTATTCTATTTTCAAAAACAAACAATACAAAATCCTCAAAGAACACGCCAACCAGCCGAAACGAAAGAAAACAGATCAGGCATTTTCCTGGAGGGGGATCCCCTCCTTCTTTCCCGAAGGCGGCACCGTCGCATCCATGTCGAAGGAGCCGGTCCGGTGCCGACTCCTCTTGAACACGGCCAGGGACACCAGGAGCAGAGTCGCGAGGCCGAGGATAGTGCCCATCGCGATTACCAGCATCTGGTGGATGTCCCGGTCTCGAGGCTGGTCCACATGGACTTCTTTCGCGTCCACCTCTGCCGACAGACACGGAATCGTACGGGACTGCCATGTCAAATCAATGGAATGAAATGTAAAAAAAAAAAAAATGTAAGGAAAATGAAGTGGGATTTTGAGAATAGACCTAAAATCCCCGTTAAAACCGAAGCAGTATTTCCTGAAAAACATACCTCCAGAAATGCAGAACCCAGAATCGGAGCATTTCATAGCTCATTGTTAAACAGCGAGGTATAAAGCTTTCCGCCTAATTGCGCCAATTGGATTTTCCGGTGTTGGAAATCAACACTGGAAGCAGATTTTTACCTCCATGGTCGAAGGGGCTGCCATGAAGTCTGAATACTAAGCTACTTGACACTCTTTGACGATCCATGTAGTCAACCGTGTCATCCCCTGAAACGCACAAGTCCAGCTGACGCAAGTACCAACATGGAATGCAAGTACCAACATGGATCATAAAAATATATATTTTTTAAGCTCATCCTCTTCCTTCGCAAACAGGCCAAACCGAGATTCGATAGGAAAAGTTGCATGTTCATAATGGTCATCTTCCCGCCTTTGAACCGACGTAGGGGGGGGGGGGGGACAGTCCATTTCCGGATCCTGGCTGCTTCTTCCCCCGCGAACTTCCACACGACCAAATGCAGCATCTTGCGAGGTCTGCAGGACCTTCGTCGGAAGTGCAATTAGTATTCAAATGCTGCAAAAAAGGCCTTGTTTACAGCGTTTTCATCATAGGATTCGACACCTGTCACTGATTAAGGTATGTTGAGAATGCCTGAAATGATTTCTAACTACTAACTCCGTGAATTGAAGCTCAATTATGGTAATCAACGCCATAATTTTCCGAGACCCATAATGCCGATCGCAGGAAATTGAATTTGTTTGCCTCTACTCCATAAAAAGAAACCTCCAAGAAAAAGACACTCTCATTTCGATCCAATTGCAACAGAAAGTCGGCGAGGTTTGCTCAAGCCACGCCTCAAGTTCGCATTGCGGATTTTTTTTTTGTTCTTTTACCTTCGGAGTCCAAACATTTTTTTAATGACCCAACCCTTCGTGAAAGCATAACCAGCCGGTTTTCATTACGGTGGCGGAAATGAGACAAGAAAATGCTTCTATTCGCTGAGAGCCAAAAAAAAAAACAAACAAATTTAACAGGGCAACTCACCGGCAGGCTGAATCGTCTCGGCAGGTCGAGTAATCTCAGTAGGTCGGGTCGTCTCGGCAGGCTGAGTCATCTCTGTATCCCCCGAGCCCGAGGCCTCCAGGTCGGCCTGAGGCTTCAGCAGCGGGAAGAGCGTCTCCCTGTCCTCCTTGGACATCCGCGATATGGCTGTCGTATCGTACTTGTACGGATCGTACCCAGGAATCGCTGCTCCCCCCGTCTTCGAGTCGTCCTCGACCGCCTCCGCGGGCCTCGTGCGCTGAGACAACCAAGACATCATCAAGACCAAGACTGCCGGTCTAGAACAGTTTCGATTTCATGCTACAATTATCATTTTGTTCTTCATACCTCTGAGGTAGTTTCCATTTTGGAACTGGATGTCCTTGCATTTAAGTACTTCGCTTCCTTAAGGTTTGCTTCCAGATCCGGCTCCTTCGAGCCACCTGCAACAAATTAATGTATTTTGCCACGGCTTTTTCCTACCGGCTGAGAGATGCATAGATATATTTATCGAGATACCTCCTGATGCAGTTCCACGTGAATAAGAGGAAATGGCGCCTGGTGAACCTGCTTCATTCGTAGCTATCGAGGACTCCCAAGAATGACCTAAATCTCCCCTTTCGAATGTTCGGGGGGTTTCCCTCGATGGGGATCCCTCTGCCATCGTGGTCGTATGAGGAGAGGGTCGTGTGACCGGCTCTGCTGTCGTGAAAGTTCCCGGCGAATGCCACACGACGGGTTCTACTGTCGCGGGAGTACGAGCAGACTCCCACATGATTGGCTCCGTTGCGTCGAAAGCTTGAGGAGTTGCACCTGTGGACGTCACCGGCATGTCCATCTCCAAACTCTGCTCCGAGGTCATCGCGGAAATGGCAGAAGCAAAAGACGGAAAAGAAACGGAGGAAGACGCTTTCAGATCGGACTCAGGCTTTTCGAAAACCTCGCCGAGAAGCGCCATAGGAGCTTGAGGAAAGGCAAAGGCCGAGTCCGCCTGGAAGTGGTCGGGGTAATTGCCTGGCGTCCGGTAAACTCGACGGCGACGTTCCTCGTCGACGGCCTCCAGGGAGCAGGCCTCTTCCAGGTCCTTCAGCGAGATAGGACTTAGAAAGATCATCTGCAGGAGTTTCTCTCCGCCGAGACGGCACCCGAGTTTCCGTTCCAAGATCTGATCCAGAAGCAGCACGTTGGTCGACAAATTGTGATAGGCGTCCCAGAGCATTTTCTCCAACACGGGGTCCCGACCCCCGAAGAAAACTCCGGCCGGCCTCGGAGCTCGATCGACCCTAGACGAGTTCACGACCGACTGGGTAGAATCCACGTTCTTCTGAACGAGATCGAACTTAACGACGGGGGGACCGTCGGAGCTGTTGTTCCTGATCTCCGCCAGCTGCACCTCAAAGGTCCGCAACGCCAGATGCCTCGGCCTCGCCCCCACGTCGCGCCGCGCGCGAGACTCAGCCACCTCTTTGTAGAACCGTGGTAGCGCCTCCGTGGCCCCCAGGTTGAGGAACCACCACAGCAGGTCCTCGCCGGTCCCCCGCCCGGGGCTGCTCGTCGAGGGCTGGTCCTCCATCAGGGTGAGGCCCAACTTCTGGAAGAGGTGCTCCATCATCTGGGTGAGGACGGCATCCTTCTCCAACATCGCGTTCGGCTCCTCGATTCGAAAAATACGCAAAAGATTCGATTTGCCGCTGGTTTCGTGAAAGAATACCATCCCTACTGACCTTTTTTTAATAAAAAAATAATTAATTGACTTTCAAGGAGAGGAGCGGATGCGGAAATCCCTCTGATCGGAGACAATCACCGGTTCCAGAATATTTATTGCTTTGCAGGTGCGCGCACGCACGCAAACCGAGAACTGGTTCAATATGTCAAATTCTTTTATCTCGTGGTTGAGTGCTCGAGTGATTTGCCGCAATGGCGCTGCCATTGCCCACGGTCCGGTTCGTAAACTGAGGCTAGTATTAATAGTTAGTCACTCCAATAGTGCTCTTAGAAAATGCAAGCCCTACTAAAACTTTAAATCGACAAATTCCTGAAATGTGAGATTGCGTGCCGAAATATCGGTGTCCGTATGGTGGAAGCTTACTTTTCCACAAGAGGCTACGAGAATTTTCAAAATGCAGGCTAAGAAAACCCGTTGCGTAGGATGCTACCAAGAAAATGGTGTTTCAGCAACTGAACTGTTCTATTTTCAGCGGTTAGTACGATGCCATGTACCGTATGGTAGCCTTCGTCACAAGACCGTTTCATGAGCTGGGAGACATCGGTGAAAGCAGATAATTACGAATCAAGGCCTAAAGTCAATTTTTAGCCTTCAATGTAACACGGCAGTTATGAGTTCATGCTTCGAATTCTATAATAGGAAGACTTCCAACGCAATATTAAGTCTTTCAAAAATGAATACATCGAAAGTTATTCACAAAAGACCACTGATGATTAACACCTCAATATTTCGCCTCTCAAAACCCAGTGGTGGAAGTACTAACTGACGAACGGGAGACAAACACATATTTATTGTGGTTATCCATTCCTTTTTTTTCACATGCGGTACATGTATTACTTTTCTCCAGATGGAAATAAGAGGCCGATGAGATTCGGATTGCGGATGAACTCACTTGGGATACGTCGTCTTCCGCCATTGACTGCGCCTCGGTTAAGTAACCCGATAAAACATTGAGGAGATGGAGGATGGGTTTTATTTCGACATACAATTCCCGGATGTTCCGAGTCTCTTGATCGGTCGCGTTTTCGGTTGACCCTAGGGCTGAAAGCAGTTCCAAGGCTGTAAGCTCCAGGCCTGCGATCGAAATTGAGGATGAATGTCTTACCGTGGGTGGTGACGAACAATAATCCGATGAAAACGGCGATTGGAACTGCGGAGAGACGCATTTTCTTGATATTATAAACTCACTGCATAAGCACGTTCCCACCTTCCCTCGCCACATCCAAAGGAAAACTTGCCGGGAGAACCGCAACACGGTTGCAAACTCTTTCGCTGCTGCTCAAAAATTATGTTCTTCCTCTTAAAATCAGAAAATGGGAATTTCAAATAAATACATTGTGGCTTAATCAAGACACCCCTGTTGGTCGCATGAGTGAAACTATGAAGGCTTATTACTTGAGTTACTTTACTGTGTAATTATGAGAACACATCTCCTTGTTAGCAGCACTGTTGAAACTCCAGGCGTTAGATGGCGCTGATCCATCATCGATCTCCGGCTTCAGGCAGACGCGTACGCAGGACCACTTACAGGTTAGCAGGCTGGTTGCCTTGGCATTTAGCTGGAATTAAGGGTAGATGAGTAAATATTAGTGGAATTTTAGTAGGCCTAAGTAAAAATTTGAATGGGTCTAAGCGATGGGCTTTTTAGGTTGAATTTTCACAATCAGATGTCAAATGTAGACATGTTTAACGTTTGCATTGCTCGCCGGCTTACTCTAAAGTGCTCATTTAGAAAAAAAGGAAATATAGCGTATTCCAAAAATTGACTCTGCATGACTTGGTATCGAAAGCTGCCCCAAAAATCAAGGAGTAGGACATCAAATATTTTCCTGCTGAAGTTTTATTCCTCTTTCATCTCTCCACTGTAAAGTTCATGAATGGTTATGGTCAGTGTAGCACTAGGGTTATATGACTTTCAGAGATTCACATACTCTTTACTTTTTTACTTTTGAGGCCTCACATGGGTGAGGTTGTTGCTATTGTTTGTGAACATAATGAATATGGTGGATCATCAAGTGGCTTAATACTTTTGCAGGTTCAAAAAGCCTTTCCGCTTTGCAATTGAGTCAGGGTTCATTAATTTTATGTTCTGAATCATACAAGGTCGATTGTAATGCATTCACCCAGAGTCTAGCAAAATGTCATTGGTCTTTATGCTATGGAGGAAGGCATGGAAGGGCAAAGGAACACTAAGGAACAGCCAGGAATCTAACATGGACCTCCTGATTGCTTGTCAGGGGTGCTATTGCTACACCACCAAACCTGGGACTTTCAGTCATATCTCTCAATAATTTCATGCTAAAAAATGTTACATACTCACATCTTAGAGAAGTCTGACTTGGGATTATGAGGACCCACCAGTAATGTGTTTGGATACTTAGGTAGGAATTATGCAACAACACTTCCCTGGCTATCTCATGGCTCAACATATTCCTGATTGCTCACTTCATCCTCACGACTTTTCATCTCTGGTCAATGCCCTTATTAAGTCTCAAGTGTTCCTTTTCTTCTAGTACTAATGAATTGTCAATGGCCTTAATAGTTGAGGGGAAAGAAGGTGAATAGATGACCAGGGAATGGCTGGGAATTGAACCAAGTTGTCCTGATATCTGGTCTAGTGTGTTATCTTTAGACCACTGAACCCAGGAAATTCATTTGCACTTCTCAGTACCTTCATTGCCTTCCATTCTGAAACTCTTATGTTAGGCCCAAAAGGACTGTTTCCTAATTGTGTATGTGCAAACAACAGCAACAACAAAGAATTATTGCAAATAAGAACATTGGGTTATTTTTTACCATTGGTATTTTAACTATTAAAGAAGCAAATTAAAATGCCTAGATGATCATGTAATATTAAGCCTATAGATAGAGAATAAAATTTATTATTTTTATAGTTCTTTGGAATCACATAGGAGACTCTTTTTTTTTATTACTAGCCATACTATTGTACAAGAGTGAAGATCTGAAGCAAGAAAACCATCAAGTGAAATGAGTGGTAGAGGAGCAGGAGGCAAGAAGAGGCAGAAGCCAAGAAGCAAGTCACAGAGATCAGGGTTGCTGTTTCCCGTCAGTCGTATCTATGGAAAGTTCCGGCGGACCCTTCTCAAACATCGCATTGCAATCAGAGCACCAGTGTATGCTGCTGCTGTCATGGAGTATCTCACAGGTTTAGATGTCTTCCATATATCACACTCTTCTCTTCATTTCCATGCAGGTCCTTATTGGCACAGCAAGACATATTACCTTGGATGACTATTGTATCTTAACCCTTCAGCATGGAGGGATTTAAATTTCCATCCATACCCTGGTGTGGGAGGAATTTCTATCTGGGGATTTAAATTTAGCTTGAGAAACAGAGATTCCAGTATGTGTGCCCTGTACTTCACTCTGTGACAGGAGATGCTTATGCCATGCCTTACTGTGTATGGCACTCCATGCTGAAGGATTGATAGTATGCAGTCATTTTGCTATTTAAAGTGTCATAATCGAAAGACTTGCAATAAATAAATATTACTGTGAAGCACCTCACATCTGCCTGTTAGGATTTACTAATTTGTATTTCAGTTAAATTCTATGCAGCCAAAAAGGAATCAGGCAATAAATATTGCCTTTGAATTGGTTCCTTAATTTCCACTCTTGTGGGGTGGTATGCTTTGACAATGCCTGGAAGCATCAGTTTTCAAATGTAAAAAATAACTGAAATTGTAACTTTTGGGATGGAAACAGTTTCTTGAGCCTCTAATGCTGTCCATTATCTCACATTACCAGCTTATTCAGATAATTATTTTTCTTCTCCAGATATTTGAAGAGTATTTATGGAGCAATATAAGTTCAATCGCTAAATCAATCACACCAAGCTAAAATGATAATTTGGGCAGTAATTTTCTATTGATTACCAGTCAATGTCAGTTTCACTGGTTGAGCTTAATTTAGGGAAATAAGTTTTGTAGTTTGTAACAGTTGCATGGTTGCTTTGAAAATGCCCATTTTTGCCTCTCAAAGGATTTTCATATTTCCAGAATGTTTGCATGTTTAACAGAAAATGTGGAAGTGTTGATCAGTAAAACATAAGCCTATTTTCTGTCAGAACACTTGTTTAAATGATCTTCAAGGAGAATGCCACTTGTCTATTTGCCAATATAATAGCAATCTGGAATTCACTTTATGTGTGGTGCCCATATGTCTTCTCTTAGAAGTTGTCAGTTGTTCTTTATATGGTTTGCTTACAGTTTTGAAAGAGAAGTTATTGTTGGGAGAAGAGTAGGTTTGTTCATCATTACAAGGCTTTCAGTGAATTTAGTTGATCTACAGTACAAGGGATCTTCAGTTGTAAATGCAAATGAACATTTCTTTCTCATGAGTAGCTGAAGTACTTGAACTGTCGGGGAATGCTGCTCGGGACAATCAGCGCCGGAGAATTACACCCCGGCACATTCTTCTGGCAATAGCCAATGATGAGGAATTGTTCAAGGTATGCTTTTAGAATGAAACTGTTTTCATGTTCATTCATCTCACCTGAAGTTAAATTAGCATAGTGATGCTACTGGCATTGTTTTATATAACTTGTGGCTGCCGAGAAGCAATTTGTTAAAGTGATTCCTGTTTTTATATTCCAGTACAAATTTTTAAGATAGAGTTGTACGTATTGTATAGGCTGATCTTAGGGGTGTGTTCTGTCAGGCATCCATGTACACAGATTATCATGAAGGATGTAGAATGGCTCCAATGGAGAGTAACTATGATAATCAGTCAGGTGTGACTGTTTTATGAGGAAGGTTCTATTGACCTTGATACATTAATGGAAAGCTCTTTAATAGAGATGCGATGAACCTGTTTAACTTAAGAAGCTTAAGTATAGAGAAGGAGTAATCCTTGGTGCATCTTCAGATCTGGAGGACACTCAATGCAAATCAAAGAACAAGCTTGATCAGTGGAAGGTGTATTGCATTTTCATGCCTAAAAGTCATAATATTTTATCTCAGTATTTTCAAGCAATGCAAATATAAGACTTATCTCATGGCATTGCCAACCTATACCAAGGGAGAAACTTGGCCTGGTGTTTCCATCATCATATTATTGGACTGTGACTTATTGGTGCAGAGGCAATAATTTTTAGGCTCTCTGGACATAAGTTTCTTCTTGTACTATATAATAACAACTCAGGTTTGAGCATTTTGCTATAGAATTGGTAAGTTTTGATGGCTAGGCATCAATAATGCCTAGCTTAATGCTTCTCTTATTGGTCTTCCACAGCTGTTGAAGAATGTAACCATTCCACAAGGAGGAGTCATTCCAAGAATCCATCCTGAGTTGATGAGCAAGAAACAGCAAAATGCACTGCTGGACCCTCTCTACCCAAGTGATTCTGGTTCTCAGTTCGGATCACCTATGAAAAAGTCCCCATCAGCAGTGAAAGCTTTCCACAAACAAGCAGATCCTGTCTCACCAGGCAAGACCAAATATAAAGCAGGTGGGTTGTACTGACTTTTTACTTTGAACTGGTTCCATTATTTTGCATCATGTTATAACTAGTGCTGTCAATTCAATTAATTTAATTGACTGATTAATCAGTTAAAGTATTGATAGTGATTTAAAAATTTATTCGAAAGTAATAAAATTTTAATCAACCCCCTAATCTCCCCCTGTATGCCTACTTTTCCCATGATGATTTAATAATTTAATTTATGCAATTGATTGAGCAATTAAGTTAATCTAATTGACAGCCCTAGTCATAACCCATTGTGCTTGAGAATCATATGGTTGGCTCTCATAACTTCAGTTCAGCTATAGTTTTGCAGATGAACAGTACTTGAATTACATTGGCCATTTATCAAAGTTTCAAAGTAAAATTATGTATTATTACTTCAGACCAGTGGTGGCTCATGATACGCAGCAGCAGTGGTTCATCAGTGAAGACAGCAGAGGCCAGCTTCCCTGTCTCTACTGACAAACTACTACTGTTGGGCATCATAGGCTGCCACTGATTCAGACAGACCATACCAGGAATTGAATTCAGAATGAAATAATGAGTGGCTTAATTCTAAACATAGTCTGTACACCTCTTGAAGTAAGATCTCATTTTTTCTAAACAGAGGCTGGGTATGCAGCCATAAGGTCTTGATTCTTGTCTTGGCTTCTAGGTAGTCTGAAAATATATATTGATGGCCTTCTTCCCCCCATGCAACCAAATTGAAAAAAATTATACCATGTTCTGAAGAAGCTGTCTACATGCATGATGAAAGTAGAATATCCCCTTCCTGCAGTGAAATCAATGGCAAAGTCACCCAAAGGTGTCACCATCCTGACCGAGAAACAACTATTTCACGGACAAAAAGTGAGTAGATTCCGTGAACATGATCTGGTGTTGAACATCATGGAGACTGAATGGAGCTCATGAACATCCTTCACAGTTGATGGTGGTGCAGAGCGACATCACCAAGGTTAAGGTGGATGCAATTGTGCATCCTACAAATGCTGATTTCTCCATGGCAGGAGAAGTTGGAAACACCCTGAGCAAGAAGGGTGGAAAGAAGTTCCAAGCCGAAGTTTCCAAGATTCAGTTGACCAATGGGAGTATCCCCTCTGCTGGAGGTATACCCTGCCCTGTGTTCAAAATGATGGATGAAATAGGGCATAGTTTATCTTCTAACAGCCATCTCCTAGCCCATATTATTTTTACATTTGAAAGTTTAAAAATTATATGAAAATGGTATTCTAGAATGTAAGAATTTGAACTAGTTATATTGGCCTGAAAAGCAATTAAACATTCTCTCCAAATTTGAGAAGTTGCCCACAAGTTACCCACTTTATAGACCCCCTGCATACTGTGAACTTTGATTTGAAACAGTAAATTTGCAAGTGAGAGTTATGGTAGCTTGTCAATCTTACTCTCATAAAATCTGTAGTATTAAAATGTGTGTGGAACTGAATGACATTGAGTCAGATGAAAATGAAAAAAAAAAATTTATTTCCATTCATTTCCTTTCTGAAGCTGTTGTATCTCTTGGCGCAAACTTTGCGGCCCCATTTGTGATCCATGTGAATGGACCCACATGGGGAGGGATGACTGGGGCTGGGGGTGAGAAGGCGAGCGACCTTGAGAAAGCTGTTAAAAATTGCCTCAGCTTGGCTGATTCTAGGGAGTTCAAGTCCATTGCCCTCCCATCAATTGGTAGTGGAAGGTACATCCCTCTTCTTTTAAACTACTCATTTTTGTATGCATGATTGGTGAAACCAGGAATTCCTTCCAGAGGAGGTTTCCCAAAGCAGATGGCTGCTCAGACGATCTTGGAAGCAATTTCCTCCTATTTCCAGATTAAGCCAGCCTCATCCCTCAAACAGATCTTCTTCGTGCTCTTTGACAATGAGAGTGTCACTGTCTACACCAGTGAACTGGCTAAACTCGATGGCTGAGGTAATCCTCACCAAGGAGGTAATAATCATTGTGCTGCTATTGAAAGATACCAGTTGTCAAACTTAATACTGCTCCTGAGTGCAGAAGGCTTTGAAAAAGTACTTGAGGGAAGTGTACCAGTATATGAGATCTTTAGTCCTTTGTTTCCAGGTGTGCTGGTGAACTGGAGGCACTTTCTCAGGAAGGGCGCCTGCTATCTACTGCCATGGTACATCTTGAAAAGTACATATTTCTTTGTTACCTGTTGAGTTTCTTTGCACCTGTTGGCTGTGAGTAGCTAAAGTTCAGTCATTTTTGCCTGTGTCAATGATCAATTAGTGTGTGATACCGTGCGATAATCCTACTGCATTGTGATTGCACCTTGTCAACCATTCTATAAGAGTGATCACTTGTCTTTATTTTTCACTAGTAAGGGAATTTCAATATGGTTTGGTCTGGTTTGATCAAGAGATATGAGGCCTACATGCTTTGGAATGATTGTTTTGGTTTGTATCATTTATCAGTATGAACAGACCACACAAATGAATTTTCCTCATTCCATGTAGGGGAAAATGGAATTGGAAGCAGCACAGACAGGTATTATAAATAAACCAAAACCACAAACTGCGATAGCTTGAGATGATCCACCGTGCCACTTTATCGTTTGCTCTTTGCCGATCTTGATGGTCGCTTGAAAGATTCTATCGAGATCGTTACCGATGCACGTATGTATCATTCCGACACGAGCGGAAGAGAGAACGGTGTTAGAAACCAGTGTCTGCATGGGACAGCAAAGTATATGATAGAAGTATGCAACCTGCCTTCTTACATTCTTGCCTGTAATGGTGTCTGCCACCGGCATTTGCTTTCTGCTTCTGTCGAAATGATGTGTACAAGTCAATAGAATCGTGAATTCTTTATTCCTCTTGAGACGAGGCATAGTGGTGGAGTCAGAAATATTGGAAATATTTAGAAAATAGAAAACATTATACTATTACTATGAATATTTTACTATTATAAGTCATCAAAATGTGATCCAAAACATTGTGATTGTTTGAGCCTATGAAAAAAAAAAAGAAGCCATATTCGATATTTTCTTCCATTCCTGTAAGAATTGGGTATTCTTTGAACTGGTAAGGGAGCACAGATACACATAATGATGAAATTGTGATGGAAAAATTGTGATTGTGGAAAAATTAATCCGTGATGGAATGGAATTGCATGGAATGGATGTTGACAGTGCACTGTGCTTTGTGTCTACTTTCCCTGAATTTGTTTTTTTTTTTTTTTGCTTGTATTGATTTTTCTTTAAATGAATATATATTATTGGTGGAGTTTATTCTGCATTCTTATTTGAAGACGAGTTTGGTTTTCTTTTGCCGGGGGGTTATGCGAGGAAAATTCACATGAACAAAGACGAGACAAGTATTCCTGTTAAGGCACTAAACTACGAAGTGTAAGATGGTGCCATCACACAAGTATAAAAGACAAATAGGAAACATTCTAGCACTTACCAGAACTATCGATATCACACATGGGATGTAACGATTCTCTAAATGCAGCAGCTTCTACGTCTTGCCACTAGGGACACGATCAAAATTGTAATACCAATTGTGCTGTAAAAGCTTCAGTATCAGTTCACGTATCAGCGTCGCGAGAACAGACCTCGGCGATTCAGAAAGCCGAGGTAACCCAGGTCTTACCATGAAATAGGGACTTCTGTCGAGGCTGTCCGAGACGTCCATCAAAACCGCAATAGTCGTCGAGTTTCCAGATGAGCCGACTAACGGGGTCGGGCCTGCCACCGGCCTTAGCGTATTTTCGCCACGATCCCCTATGGGCCTTTTTGGGACTTGGAACGTGACGACACCCGGTAGTAAGTAGCCGGAACTCGCCGAAGAGGCTATTAAACGACACGAGAGAGCGTCGAAATTCTCGTTCAGTCGCTCTCAGCCCACCTGATAAGGCGGATGCGGAGGCGCCCGAGAAGAGAGCGCGGGCAATCCTCGGTTTTTTCATTCGAGAATAGTAGTGCGGATTTCGCTCGTGGCGGCAATACCACCCACCGGCTCTTCGCCGGATTCTCCAGCGACATTGGGTTTGGGATTAACAGCTATTGCGGGCCTGGTGAATGGGTCGAGCTGTGGGCTCGTTCCCGATACGTGTTGGACTTCGTCGGGGTTGCTTACTTTTTCTTTATTGTTCCTCGTGCACGTGGATACGATCTGTGGGCTGGACCTCGAGGGAGCCGACATCGGCTCCCTCGAGGTCGAGCCTGTCTGAATGTTTTTCTTTCCCGATGATGCCGCCTTTTTTTTCTGGCCCGGTCTCGACGGGAGCTTCAGGGCGAGCGAGATCGGTTCGACACGGAATTTACTGCTGTCGGATCGAAATTGAGCATCCCCAAAACGCAGGTCATGGTCCTCTCGAGAAGTCCTGTACATGTTGGGGGGGGGGGGGGCGGGCCACTAGAATAGGTGAAAGTTAAGTACCTTGGGGGTCTGATTCTCGAGAGACAGGCGACACGGAAACGAGATCGACGACCGCATCTCCATGGCTCTCGCGGTTTTTCCAGAACTCTGGGAGACTGTGCTTACCAAGTCTGAAGATTCAACGAGGCGAAACTTTCAGTTTTTAAGAACGTCTACCCTCCCCTATTGTCATGAAATGACGACCGAAAGTATGAGGTCCAGGGTTCCAGCTGGTTTCGGTGTCGCGCCGAGAGAGAGGATGCTCTGCGCCCGGACCCATGAGAACCTCCAGGTCTCGAGGCGACTCGATCGAGATCCCGAGCCCGGTGGTGCCGACACGCCCCCTTGCCTCCCCAAAACAGCCTTCCAGTCTGAAGTGACCAGTCGGTAGGCTTCGGGCGCGGTGGACAGACTGCACCGCGAATCTTTGTCTCGAGGAGGAGTGCATACCACCAGCCGAGCTCGAGTCTGTCGACCGGGACGGCGAACACTGGAAGATGCTCCTCCGCCTGCTCGAGCCGCGACTCCAATAAAGTTGGGACGAGTGCAGAAAATATATGCATATAAGGTGCAGAAACTACCCTCTCTGCACTCGTGACTTTCATGGTGCATAGTGGTCTGTATAGTAGGATCAGCAGCATATTTGTACAATGTTTCCAATATCATTTTAGAGTGATGTAAAATTATGGTACCACTTCCACAGCAGGAGCTGCTTATTTCCAACACTTACCCAATTGGCACTTGTCATGCTTGTACAATGAAACTTTCTGACACCTTTTAATTTAGGCACTACAGTTCTCTAAAAGTGGGATACTTACTTTATAATCATTCGGTACTTTTAGTTTGCTCTGTTAAACCTTCCCTTGCCATTCCATGGTTTTTGGGTGAAATGTGGCAGTACTTACATCATGTACAGGTTTCATAAAAGTGTTAGCATCTGAGACCATACTTAGTCTTGGCACATAATTAGAATAGAGTTGGCATCAAAGGGAGAGTCCACTAATTTACAACTTGAGCTAGCCATGATGAACAGAAGCAACTGCCAGAAGCCGCGCATTTATCGGACCGTCCCTCAAGGAGATACAGGGAGAGGACAATGGAATCAATGGTGTCAAATGGCCACTTGAAAAGGTGTCCCTCTTCCACTTATCTCTTGACACTTGGACATGACATACTTCTCTTCCTATCGACCATGTGATGTCACTAGTTTCATTTTCCTCTCTGTGCCTCTTTATGAGATGGTTAGAGAAAAGGAGTTTCCATCAGTGTCTCAGTAACTGCTACAACAATGAGCAGCACAACATAAAGCCACTAGGTTGTGAACATGAGGCAAGAACCACATATGTGAAGATATGTCCCACTCATCTCATGTTCGCATGAGCCCATGCGGATGATCAAATTGCAGAATGAAACAGAACGTTGAGTAGAAGGAAAGTTTACTTCAATTGAATCATGAAATTCATTGAAATAATATGATTGGAAATCGCATTCAGAAGCAATGACATGTATTTATCCAAATAAACTCATCAATCAATGCAAGTAAATTATGTTTCAAATTAAACACCCAAACTCAGATGAGAGGAATATAGTGGCCTGCCATTTCTCCCACAGGCAACCAAAATTTTAAAAAGACCAAAATAACGTGCAGCAAAGGGAATTGGTGTGCGGGCAAGGTTCTAGAGCATTTGCAATGCTTCCTTGGGACTTCCTGCACTCTTTGTTTCATCTTTGGGAGAATTATTCCTACAGAAGCAACTTCTAATGTGTTGATGTACATTAAGTACAGTCACTGACTAGTCTTTAGCACAGACCCATAAAGATGCCATAATTGAATAGAATTTTCCATTCCATTGACCTCAGCAGAAAATGACAAGAACCATCACATATATGTCAATAGCTCTGAAATTCCACCAGGCCATCTCAGAATATACACTAGGCCTACAGCATCAACTTCGCCAAAGAACACCATCGCCCTCACGCCTTCTTGTCGACATGCTTGAGATACTTGTGTCCCACGGCGAGCGTCGAGCCGCCGATGAGGAACCCGAGCAGTACCCGGATGAAGCCGTTGCTCGGCAGGGCGACTCTGATCACGGCCCACGACAGCAGGGACCCCATGTTGAACAGGACAGTGAGGTATGTGGCATAGAGCCACCTCTGCTTGCAGGGGAGGCTCATCAGGTGGGGGCGGCCAGCCATGAATGCCCCTATTCCCATGTGCGATGCAACCAGGAGGACGTTCTCCACGGTGCCGACGTCTTGTTCGGGAAAGATTCTGTGAAGGCAAGAAGTTTTATATCGTCTGAGAATACCAACTATGTGATGTGGATGAAGACAAACAGTGAAAGACAGGAGCAGGATATTCACAAGTCTTCTTAACCTCCATGAGAGAATTTGCTAATTCCTGTATCATGTCATATTTCTTGTAACTTGGTGTATTCTTAGAAGGGATACACAAGGGACATGCATACTGCTGCCCTGGTTTCTTTGAAAGCATTACCTAGCTTGCTACTACTTTGAAAGCATTAGCATGTATTTTAGTAAACCACGTACCCTATTGGCTTTAACCACGATGGAATTAATGTGCTCTTCCTAGTCCAGGATCTTGTTTATGGTGATGCTGAAACACTTTGTAGGATATGACAAAGTGCCTTGAGGTAGTAGGGTCCACTCAAAAGATGTTGATCCTTACCAATCCTGAAAACCTGACACTGACTTGGCTTGGCTTGAACTACAGGAGCCAGTTGATCACCAAAGTTGTGATCTTGTTTAAGGGTTTCATGGTCACCACTACCATGGATCTAACAATACATGATGCAATTGTTTGCAAATAGATGGATCTGAGTGATGTTTTTTTACTGTCATTCACGAACAGTATTAGTAATATTGGCCTAAGAAATGATCCTTGCAGAACCTTACATTACTGGTACCAAATACCAGATGGTCCCACTTACAATTACTTTTTGCCAGCATTCTACAAGAGAATTCCTCATCCAGGAGTGGCGTGATCCACAGAGAATGTAAGATTATAGCATGGATACCAGCCTTTCAAGGGGCACTGTGTCCAAGGCTTATGCAAAGTCAAGGGCAACTATAGAAATTAGGGATTACTGTCTAAGCCATGCACCTCATTGGAGGGTAAGCCCTGCAAATCTAACTGAGCAATTACACGTGGAAGAATGATGTGCTCAAGGATCTTCAAAAAGCAGTTGCTTCACCTGGGCAGGAGGTTAGGGTGAATGACGGATGCACTAAGCACGGAATAGCAGACGGCCCCGGACCACGGGAAGTATGTATTCATGGCTGCCGCCCTCACATTTGCTGGGATGTATTTCCCAAGTGAGCAGCACCCATCCGAAGACTCCATTCTTCTCTTTTGTGTCCAAACACGACCTCTTCCAGGAAACGAATCGAGTCGAAGAGGTTATCTCAGCTCTGAGACTGGTTGGAATGGATGTCGCCCTCTTGACAGGTAAGGACAACACTGTTCAAAGACTTTGGACAGTCTAACCTAAAAAAGTAAATAAAGAAAACCAGGAGAGATTCATGATGGATAACAAGAATTTACATGTGATCACCGGTTTTCTCAGTCTCAACACTGATATCATATTATCAGTTATCTGGATGAAACTGCAAAAAGTCGCTGGGCAACACTGTGAGGCAAGTTTACATGGCAGCATGCATGTACAAGTCCTCGAGGATTCTCTTATGGGCTGACGTGGAATAAACTGTTTTATAGCTGTCTTCATCGATTGTGTTTTAATCAAATGATTATTCAACGTGTTTTCAATACTTGAGTCGTGATGGAGTTATTCAGGGGATTTCGATCGGTACTGACCAATCCTGCGCCCGGGAACGTTCCAACTGGAGCCGAAACTGTAAGTAGGTCCAATGTTGTCGTTTTGCAGAGAACTAGGCTGTATAAAACATTCAAGAAATGTAAATCGGATATCTGAAATTGTGTCTCTTTGATCAATCAAATGGTGTGCAATTTTGCACATAAGAGTGAGTCTGAGAGAAGGCCTTATGAGCCTTGAGCCTCTTTTCTTGGGCAGAAACTTTTATCTTCAGCCAATTTGTGTGGGTCATGTAGCTACTTATATATTTATATGACACTGTTAGCAACTTTTGTATCTTGATGCAATGGAAAGGTGGAACGCTTGATCAACCGCATCCAGTCGTCCACGCTCCTGGAAGACCGCCGGGATGCATGCCGAGCTCTGAAGGCATTGTCGAGGAAGTATCGCATGGAGGTCGGTGCCCAAGGAATGAACGTCCTCATTAACGTTCTGGCGACCGACCGAGGAGATGCGGAGATCATCGGCTATGCTCTCGACACCCTCTGCAATGTCATGTCTCCGGTTCCCTTTGAGGAAGAAGGTGAGAGTGAGATGTGAATGGTGGCACTATGCTTGATTTCTGAAAATGAGGTAATTTATTTTGTTAGTCCGTCTTTTTACCTTACTTTTGTCATGAATTTCAGAAGGGGAGATGAACATGCCGAGGGAACGCTTAGCCGACTTGGGAGAGAGGTTTACTGAGATCTTCATCAAGAGGGTAGAGAATGTATCTCTGCTTCTTGGCCTCCTGGAGGAATTTGATTTTCATGTTCGCTGGCCAGCTGTCAAACTCATCACGAATCTTATCACAAATAGGTCAGGGGTCAATGCCTTTTGCCTAGGGGCTTACACCAATTAAATTTGATATTTACTGTTTGAAAGCTTATATCTTACATGTACAGATTTTTTCATGTTTTTAGAAAGAAATTTAAATGAAGTACATATGTTTATAACAGAGCAAAGGAGCTGCAGGAATGTATCCTTGTGAGTCCCATGGGAGTTTCAAGGCTCATGGACCTTTTGTCCGATTCACGAGAAGTTATTCGCAATGATGTGAGTTCCTGACTGCCTCCAAATCCTTTCTTTGAATATTACTTTGCATGATTCTTGAGCATGCAATTGATTGCATTGTATATTATCTCATTAGGGCCTGCTCCTACTGCATCAACTAACAAAAGGGAATGCCAACATCCAGAAGATCGTGGCCTTCGAAAACGCATTCGATCGGCTCCTGGACGTGGTCACGGAAGAAGGCTATTCGGAAGGAGGCATAGTTGTGGAAGACTGCCTTCTTGTTCTTCTCAATCTCCTCAAAAATAATCCTTCTAATCAAACCTTCTTTAAAGAGGGTGAGTTGAGGTCCATGGCAGTGTCTTTTTTATGAGTCATTGTGGTGTCCTACTGATACTTGAGGATTGGATTAGTTGACTTTTAACTAAATGGTCTTACTATTTTACACTCTTAATCAGTTACTATTCACCTAGGGATATAAAGATTAAGTTCTACAGGATATAATTTTCAGGGGTTATTTTAAATGTTTATGTCAGTGGTTGATGTAGATCCACTTTCCATTTGGCACAAAATTTGGGGAGCACATGAGAAAACTTTCCATTTTGCCAGCTTCATCATAGAGTGGCTTATGAAAGCGCTAGCACCAATTTCAAATTCTAAATTATGGAATATCCTTTTTTTTCCCCAACCTTAACTTCTTTTATTAAGCCAGGCAACAGATGAAAGTCATGTATGACTCAAAAGAGGTTGAATAAATGACCTGACTTGTTCTCATTAACCCAGACTAGCCAGAGGCTGCCAGACAGTTTGGCCTTCAAACAATTTTTTTTCCATATTTATACATCCATTATTGCTGGAGAAAAGGTGCCAATTCATAATGCAACCTTCATTTAGAACTAATCCCCTTCTTACCTAAGTGGAATGTTGGGAGGAAAAAATTATTTATTGCAGATTCCTTGAATCCACTAAAAATTTTGGTTTCACAAGGTTTGATAGCATGGACCTTGCTTGGCTGAATGTCTGTTAACTTCCTCAAGAACTTTCTATTGTTTGTTTTTAGGAAGCTACATTCAGCGTTTAGCTCCATTCTTCTGTGTCCTGGATACTGACTTGGGATGGTCGGCCCAAAAAGTCTCAAACTTTCTTCTTATGCTCCAGGTGAATCATTGTTCTTCCCCCTCTCTCTCTCATTGACCATCTTGGACATATCTATGAAGATTTTTTCTGTTTCCAGATTGTGCGCACATTAGTGAAGCCTGGGAATGCATCTCAGGTCGTCCATGCCTGCCAGTCAGTGATGCTTTCCTGTGGCCTGTTGAAGAGATTGTGCTCTGTGCTCATGGCCAGTGGTGTCCCTGCTGATGTCCTCTCTGAGATCATCAATGCTGTTGCTGAAATAATATGGGGGTTTCAGAATGCTCAAGACTTCTTTCATACAGTCATGGCTCCTTCAAATCCTCCTAGGTAAAACATATCCTAAGATAAACCTTCTTGTTGTACAAACTGCATGAAGTAGTGTAAGAAAAAATAATTTTATCTAAGTGTATGACAAATGGATTATGGGTACGTGCTTGGGAAAGGATGAACAACCTCCCCACATCTTCATGATTGCCCTCTTGAATATGAATTCCATGCATGGATAGGCATTCTGTGAAATCTTTCATCAGCTCAAGTGGAGTTGACTGGTTTGTTAGGGAGGCTCTGTTGATTCTCCTGATGTCAATGGTGAACGAGAGGCAGCCCTTTCAGCTTCGCCTCTCTGTCCTCTACTGCCTCCAGGGTTACCTGACTAAAAATGAAAGTGCACAGAGGAACCTCATTGCCACTCTCCTTCCTTCTGTTGAGGAGCAAAGTGAGTTTCTCATTCATTCAATTGCTGAATAAAAAATTCATTTCGAGAATATTTTAACATGGGCTCAGCAGAAAAACTAGTTTTTGTAAGGAATATTGAGCAAAAGCATATGTGTTCTTAAGTAAGAGTGGTATAAAAGAGACACATGCAGACACTGTCCTTCATGGAGCATTGGATAGAAATGAAGCAATCAGTCTCATAAGCTCAGGTAATTACTGGTATGCTTTAATGCATAGCCTCCTTAGATAACACAGTGACTGCATTCCATGCATTACTTGTGAAACGCTGTTCAATCCTCTGTTTGCTGACACAGTACAGTGAATTTGTGCCAGAAGATTCAGTAATTTACAAATTAAAAGATTATGTGAGACCTTAAGAAGCAGTGAGCTGTATGGACTCTTTTGGTTCTCACTCATAGTTCACTGAAGAATCTTACAGAAGTTGCCATTCACTTTACTCACTACAAACTAAGTCAAAGAAGAAGAGAACTTTTGACAATATGGGAATTATAAAGTTCCACTGCAAAATTCTGGGCAAAGAAAGGACTCTAAAGTGCTCAAGAAGCACGTAGAAGCATTCTACTTTTTTTTTTTTTTACTTTTAAGTGGAATGGGTAAGATTGATGGTGCTACATCAGTAGCACCAGACATGAATCTATTTTAGGTGTTTTTAAAAGATCAAGATTCCTAAGTGTAAGGGGCAGACCACAAGTGCAGGGAGAAAGCATACTTTTTAATAAATTTATTTAAAATTTGGTTGAAGAAAATTGCTGGTATATTGCTTTAAATGTGCCAAGGGTATACGTTTTTTAAATTTATTGTTATATTGTGGAATAAAGTCAATTGGAAGCATGCACTGACAGAGCATTATATTTTACAGGTGAGAACAAGGGATGCAGCATGGGCCAGTTGCTGATGAATGGGCTGTTCAGCTCTGATCCATTCACCAACTGGTTGAGTGCCGTCTCCCTCTGCCATGCGGTGGTGGACAACAACATGCAGAAGGAGCAGCTGATTCGGGTCCACCTAGCCCTCACGCCTGAGGCTGCCCCTGTCTCCCTCATGCAGCAGCTCTCTGCCATCATTCAGTCTGTGAGTCCTGCCCTCTGTGATGAAGCCAAAAAATGGGGTTAAATTGCTCAAAAAATGTAGGTTTTCAGGATATGTCTTTCTGGAAAGTTGAACTGAAAATTTTCAGTATCTGACGATGCAGCCATTGTCTTCAAGCTCCTATGAATTTTGAGTGGCTGCATGAAAAATACGATGAATCAGATTGCATTGATATTTGCATTTAATCCTGCACATTTCACATGCATGGACTAGGGTGCATTAGGTTATCTATGCTTTTCAGATTGACTTTCAATATTCTGACTGTGCAATGCATGCAGTGCCCAGTGCCAAGGATCTGGGAGATGGAGATTGGAGATGTTCAAACAGTGTTTACCTGTGATGGAAACTTCTGACTTGCTTTGAAGAAAGTCATAAATGAGCAGGAGTTGGTTAGGTTTAGTCTTAAAGTTGGAGGTAATTTCATTGAAAAATGGAAATGCATTATCTGCATTTAATTGCCCATTTACTTTGGTCCTTCATCTGGAACTCCATGAACAGGATGAGGAAAAACTCACTCTTGATGTAGCTATCTCAGAGTCTGGACATTACCATGGGTTAAGGGTAATGAGAGAGCTTGAATGAGTAATGTAAATAAAATGAAAACTTTGCCAGCTCATGACATTATATGAACAAGGTTATCTTTCTGATAATAATTCCAACCACGTTATATGATAATAAAGGTTTGAAAATAGTTCCTCAAACTGACATCTGAAATGTATGGGAGTTCTTATCTCATCTTACAATGATTTGATGAATTTTTTTGCAGAACCAGAGTGCGCAGGCACGCATGGGAGTCCTGATGCTCCTCTGCATGTGGTTGTCCCACTGTCCCCCTGCTGTGTCCCATTTCTTAATCATCCCCAACTCCGTTTCCCACCTGATTGCACAAGTCAGTCATATCTCCCTATCTTCCTCCCTTCACAAATTTCTTTATTGTATGATTTTGCAGTAAGGGAAATCTGGATCTGTACAGAAATATGCTGTTATAAACAGTGTAGAAATTTCTTTATTATGCTCAGCCTTCCAGAAGTTTTAGAAAAAAATTATTTTTTTTCTTTTTTGGACTTGCTTATTAGCACTTGACTCAGTGAAATGCAGCAATGATTTTTTATGCATTATTCTGTTTGTTTTTTTATTTTTGTAAAAAAACCTGTCTCATGTCTCCCTCAAAATAGAACTTGTTTTGAATGAACTTGTTGGCCTATAAATGCATTATTATTTCATCAGATATAATTATGATGATTAGTAAGAAGTATTAATAATGTCAGAGTCAATCCTGATATTATTTGACCCTCTGATTTCCCAAATAAAATAGGGCAGTTATAATAACTCTGGTACTTCGTGTAGCATGCCTCAAGGGTAATACATGGAGGTAATGTAAGACTAAGAAACATATTACCATTGTCTTCCCACCCAGGCCACAGGCTGGTCTTTCCTACTGATGATAATTCAGTGTCACTTATTCTCTGCCACTATTTGATCCACTTTGAAGGTGAGTTCAACAGAGGGAGACGAGAACGAGGATCTCATCCAGGCCATGTGTGCCTTCCTCCTTGCGCTGACCATACTCTTCAATGACAACTCCAATTCTGCTTACACTCAGGTTTTTTATCTTTTGATCATGCTAATATAAATTTCTTGTTAGTTATTAGCTAATTTGTTTACTGTAGGTTGTGCTGTGTTTATATCAGAATAATGTCAGGAAGAAATTATTTGGCAATTTCTTTTGAAGAAGGCTCCATACAAAGTGAAGCCCAGGAGTGCATGTACTCCTTGAGACATGGGTCAATGTAATGCAAATTTATTTCTAAATGTGATGGTTGTGTGTGAACTTGTGTCTTCCTTGTGGGAAAATAGTTGCGCTAGATGATCCATTTTGCTTGGTGATGATGACAGGAGCAATTGATCCAGCTGATCAAAAAGAGGATCGGGACGGAGAAGTTCCTGGACAAGATGACTCAGGTGGGTCGCCACGAATCCTATGCCCGTGTTGTCAAGAGCCCCATCGTGAGGTACCACAACACTTCTGAGATCCTCCTAGACCACAGCTTCTGCAACACCTTCCGATCTCTCGAGAGTGAGTCACATGTCCAGGTTTAGAGCTTCCAGACAGACATCAGCCTGCAACATTTTAAAATAGGCTAGAAGGAAAAAATGAGATGCTGTACATTATGATTCTCAATCATTTTCTGGCATGGTCTGCTATTACTAAACTGAAGCATATGTAGCCCAGCGTACTGACTCACTGTTCTTTTCTCTTTTTAATAAGCTATTAATGGGGGCTGTGCTGATGCATTCAGGAAGCTAGTTACATGTTTTACTTTAGTCAGACCCATAAATTTCAGTTGCCAGTGAATTCCCATTTGACAAAAGCAAGTTTTGATCCAAGAGTGTGATCTTGGGGGCTGCTGAAGGTCCAATGCCTTCTTTATTGGGTATTAAGAATGCATTACCTTTATGTTTTGTTACAAAGGCACTCTAAAGGTTTCATTGCATGAGGTTAGGAAGGGATTTCATTTGTTCAGGATTTTAATGATGCATTCAACATAGTGGTAATTATTGTAACTATAGCATTATAGCCTGTTCTGGAACTTTGTCTTGGTAACTGCATACACTTTTATTAGGTCATTGGAACTGATCATTATAATCTCATTTGGTTTTAAAAGATGAACTGCAATTGACTGGCAAAATTTGCATTTGGTTTGGTCCAGGTGTAGCATTGAGGGTGGTTGGAGGTGGAAGGGTAGAGGAGATTCTTCAAAATGGATCTCATCTCAAAGAGACACCAGCTGGGATTGAGGCTCAATACAAGGAGACTCTGATGCATCGTGATGCCCAGCTGGCCCAGGTCCAGCTGGAGAATGCTCAACTCCGGGAACAGAATGGCAGACTTCAGGTCTGTCTTGCTCTTGCTTATTGATGTTTCATTTTCCCTCATTCCCTTATCTTTGTGATTTGCTTAATATTATCAGAAAGTATTCAATTAAGAAATTTTGTTTAACTATTTATTAGTTCCATGTCAAAATGGGTTAAATCACTTCGTGAGACAGAAATGGTATAACCAAGACAGCATAAGAGTCTGTCTTTTTTGAGCTCAGGACTTCTGACATCTGCATTTCACAGAGTATATATTCTCAATTCATTGATGAGGTTGAGTGGCCTCCACCCATTGATGAGTTGTACTCATGAGGAGATATTTCAGCATTGGGTCTATTGCTTGGAGTGCCTTTGCTCCTGGGTCAATTCATATTTTCTCAAGTTAAAACATACTGGAGAATGTTCTGCTGTCATCATGCACCATTTATGCATGATTTTTTCCCAAGAGAATAGGCACATATACTAAAGGTGTCATTTTTTTCTATAGGCTCAAGTGGAAACCCTGTCTGGGCGAGTGAACCAACTTCTCAGTTCAGGGGTGAGTGCACTACACATCTCCACTGCAGGAGCACAGGCAGAGATGCTGAACCAGCTTCGCAATGTTAACGACTACCTTCAAGAGCAAGTGCGGGAAAGAGACGATCACATCTCGGAACTCATGGAACGTCTCCGCAACCACGTAGAGGTCTCGGGCCATCACCAACAAGCGGACTTGCAGGAACAGCAGGATGGCAGACCATCAGATGACACTCAGGTGCTCCAGCAAGAGATTGCATCCCTAAGGCAACAGTTGCAGGAACGTGCTATGGAGCCAGCAAAAGAGTATTTGGAACAACTTACATCACTGCAGGAGATGTTACAACAGAGAGATGCTACCATTGCCAACCTGCATTCTCAACAAGTGGACATCTTTGGGTCGCAGCAGCGCATCAAGGAAGCAGAAGAGCAGGTTCTGATGCTCCAGCAGCAGTTGAAGGAACGAGATGACACCATTGCCAAACTTTACTCTCAACCCATGGATGAACTTTCTTCTCAACTTCAGCATCAGATCAAAGAAAGCAAAGATCAAATTGTCATGCTAGAGCAGGAGTTGAAGGAGCGTGATGCCACCATTGCAAATTTGGAGAGTCAGGGATCCATTAATGGCCAGCCACAGATGGCTGAGTATGAGCAGAAAATTGCTGAATTAGAGAAGTCACTCCAACTACGGGATGCTGAGTCCCAACATCTTCAGCAGCAAGTTGGTGACTTACAGAAACAGATCTCTGATCAGCAGAGGAGCCTGAAGGAGAAAGATGCTCAGATCTCGGTCAAGGAAAACTTAGAATCCCAAGTGTTGGCTTTGCAGCGACAAGTTTCGATTCTCCAGATGTCTGAGCGTGACTGCAAGGCTACCCTCCGAAACATGGAGGAACTGCAACAGGGTTCTCCTGACATAAAGTCATTGCAGCAGGAGATCGGGGGTCTACAGCAACAGGTGACGGTCCTGCAGCAGCAGGTGCGAGATAGGGACTCTGAGATCGAGACATCTCGACAGAAGACAGGTGAATGTGAGCAACAGGTGTTGTATCTGAGGCAACAGCTGCAGCAACAAGATGCAGGGTCTCGTATGTCAAGTGATGTGTTGAACCTCAGGAATCAATTGGAGGATCTGGATGAAAAGAATACAGCATTGCGGCAACAGTTGCGGGAGCGTGATGGTCAGATTGCAACCCTTCAGGCCAACAGACCCAAGAATCCTGTCCCTGTGGTACCAGAATCCAAGAAAATTGCTGATTTGGTGAGATTCGTCTTTCCTTCTTGATTTTACAATATCTGTAGACGAACTTGCTAAATAAGAATAGTAATTGTGGATTTGTTTTCCATCTTTCTAATAATCTGAAACCATCAAACAACATTCTTTGGTGGACCACCACCTCAGATGGTGGCCTCAGGTATTATGCCTTCGCAAGGTACATTTGAGTCATCACAGTCCTGAAATAAGTTTTTTTTTGCCACTGATAAAGTTTTCAGATGCAGGAAGTTCTTGGTTTGTTATATGTGAAGGAGGGCTGAGATATTGTGAGGACATCTGGTAGTGTTGTGCTCTAAAAGGTAGTTGTTAACCAATTCCAGGAAGCAAGGAATCGTGCATTGGAGGAGCAGCTGAGCAGACTCTCCCAAGACCAGGATAACTTGGTGGAACTCATGACTGAATATGAGGGAAAACTTGCAGAGTACCGGCGACGTCTCAATGACCTTGGCCAAGAGGTTGCATCTTTTGCTTCAATCCAAAATCCTTGGAAAAGGGAAGGGGGGGGGGGAAATCTTGTGTTAAATTTTTGCAAGAACCATTCATATATGCATTACTGTGTTGCGCATTGCTCTCTATTGATGTGCATTTTACTTTTCGAGTTGTGTTATTGACTGGAATTTGCCATTTAAAAGTCTTTCTCATAATGTTTCTTCAAATGGAAATCACTGAAATTGCATCTTTTTCAACCACTCTGTAATATGCAGCATGACTGAGGGTATTTGTGTTCCATTCCTCATTTTTTCTACCTCAATGGTACTGTCATATGTCAAGAACTGGGAGCATAGTGGTTAAGATTTATTATTTTAAATTTTTCCTAATGCAATTGAAGGAATAAGATCTTTAATTGAAAGCATCAGCACATATTTAGGATTGTAATTTATAAGAATATTGGGAGTCTGAAATTGGCAACATTAGTCATCAGAAATTTCCTTACTCAAGCCAGAGATCTTTGTGCCAGCTGCTGGTGTTAAATCATGTCCTTCATTGATCATCAATGATGCCATCCCGTGGCTTCAGTGTGAAGACATGGGATTAATGTGGGATTGCAATTGTTGCAGGTTGCAGATGACCTAGTCCTTAACTGCGACCTGGGTGAGAACCTGGACGATGGTGACCTGGAGGAAGAGGAAGAAATTGGGATGCCACAAACCCAGTCAAGCACGGTGAAGACAAAATGAGAATTTCTTCTTCCCCTCTCTTTGCCAACCCAGTCGGTGCTTCATACGAGCCTTGGCCCCAGAGTGTACCTTCTCTCCTGAGCATGAAGTTGTCTGGTCGTGTGGACAGAACTTAAAGGGAAATTTATACTGCCTGGTTCAGGTGCAGACGTTTTCTTCATATTTCATGGAGCATGTGCTTTTGTTTCCTACAAGTTTCCTTACCCAAAACATTCCAATAAATTTACCAAATTAAAGTGGTGCCCTCTCACCCTTAGGGAAAATTTATATCATAAATGGAAGGTAATGAGTGTATTAATATATTTTGGAGAATAAAGGTTTCAAGTTCATTTTGCATTTTATTTTGCCTGTGCAATCATAGGAAAGAGAAAAATTTGGCGTTGCAGATGCTTCAGCGAAACAAGAGTTCTCTGAAAATATGCAGCAAGAATTTTCACTTTTAAATTTTGTTGGACCATATTAAAATTGTATGCACATTTCAAATGGCCAATAAATGGATTTTCTGCTTTCGTGTCTCATATAGCAAATATAAGAAATGAGAAAAGAGAAAAACATTTAGCAAAAATTGTACTAGTTTTATTACTGAAACCATTACAGAATTTATACCAATATTCACGTATGTCGAAATCTGAATTCCAATTTATTGCCCCACCCAAGTGATGTAGTTGTGGATTCCCATCCATTAGATTTTCAGAATGGAAAATACTAGTTTGACGGTTTCAACTCTCCATTTAGTCAATACCCCTCACCCCCTTGCCCCTGTATCATCGCTACGCCAATTTTTTATTATTATTTAATGATAACCCCCCTAGAGCCACAGATGGGGGGGAGAGAAACATGGGCCAAGCAACCCTCCCCTCAACCTTGACCAATCGTTCCTAGACCCTCCTGAAATTTTTGTATGGATTCTCCATTTAAAATTCCTAGATGCGTCGCTGCAAAGCAACCGTATAGAGAAATTATGGAGTTCATCAATGAAGAGATATTGAAATCACTCACCAGTCCGAACAGCCAACAGCATGCTACGAGGCTGACGACCAGTAATGTGATTGCGAGGAGATAGAGGCAGGTATGGCTCTTACACGAGGGCAACTGAACTGCGTGTTTCAGGTAATTGTAATTTTTCAATAGATAAATAGATTATATGGTGTTTTATTCAAAATGTTTTGCCTCGGATTTCTCGACAAATATACTGTAATGTATTTCCATCGAAGTTACTAAGATTGTAAGACCCGAGACGAACGCTGGAAAATTGCAAGCACTAACAAAGGAAATTGTTTCGTACCGGTGTCGATACGCATACTATACAGAAGAACGCCCTGTGCAACCTACACTTACGATCTTGAGCCATGATCGTGAAACCTTTTTCCTCCTATGCATTCGAGCCGATGATCCTCTTGGCATTATTACTCTTACTCGGAGTGGTCGCAGGAGATTTAATCTCACTGCTTTGCATCCCGGACAGAGATGCGACGTATTGGCGTTGGAAATTACAGATCCGAACCTGAGAGTCTGCGGATTGTATTGCGCGTTGCAGACTCCACCCTGCCGTGCCCGCAACTACCGAGGATCCGATGGTTCTCGTCGGCTGCCTCTCGTCGGCTGCCTCTCGTCGGCTGCCTCTCGTCGGCTGCCTCTCGTCGGCTGCCTCTCGTCGGCTGCCACTCGTCGGCTGCCACTCGTCGGCTGCCTCTCGTCGGGAAGAGTGACCTCGTGGAGGCCAACGGATACGAGTCCTTCTCTCAAAGGCGAGAGTCCTCACGCTAGTAAGCCAAATTAACAGGTATCATTTTTGAAGCTCTCGAAAATACGGAAGTGTGCCCGACTATCCGAAGATTCGGAACGCCAAAGTATCCTTTGAAGGTTGAAACGGAGAATATCGAGAAGGCGAGAATTCGCCGTGGTGAAGGGATTCTTTGATGGCTCTTCTCTCCATTGGCTCCCTTGCTTCGTATTTGCTAATCTTTTCGGAAAGGTGCAGTTCTCTGGAAGGATATTAATCGCAGGGCTGTAAGGTACTTGAACATTCAGTACTGAGAAAGTACTTTCATGAGGAATTCGGTGCACATTCGCGCGAAACCTATTCTGCCTCAGGAAACTCGATGATTCCCTCGAGAACATTTTCTAATTTACTGGCGATTCGATCGAAGGACGAAACCAACTCTCGACACTTCAAATCAACTGCGTTTGGTCGACAGCAAGAATGTGTAGAGTCCCAAGAAAAACACGCGGGAGCATAATTCCTCAAACCCGGACGGACCCAAGTTAGGAATCATCGGGTCGGGAATCCGTTCCCGATCGAAAGTTTCTTCAGTCAAAATAATAAAAATCCAAGAAAGCTGTGGCCCCTGCCCAGTCGGCTGTGGCCCCTGCCCAGTCAGCTGTGGCCCCTGCCCAGTCGGCTGTGGCCCCTGCCCTATTTCATCCCAGAGGAAGGAGGCTGAGGAGGCTGTTGCCTACTGGCAACCTCGCCCTTTGATCTACAGATATTAAGTTTCCCTTGGGAAGGAGAAACATGAAATCTGGTTGCGACAAGGGAGATCGTCCAAGTGAGGTCAAAGTAAATGCTCCATTTTTCACCGAATTTCAGAGAATCGATACCTTGACAAGGCAGTAGCGTAGCTACCGAATGTGCAGGTGGTGCGACTGCACCGGGGCCCACGGGCCAGAAGGGCCTAGACACCGAGCTACGAAGAGGGGGGAGGGGGAGGGGGAGGGGGAGGGGAGGGGGGGGGGGGGTGGGAACTAGGAAACAGGCCATG